GTGATTGCTTTGGTGACCAACAATTCAGACTGAATCATGCAGTTCAAAAGTATTACTATCACTGCTCATAGGTATTATTCAGCAACACAGTCGAATTCATGCCATCGTACAAAGTCTTCAAACGAATAAAAAGCATGTAATGAATATAACACATTCGCTTTATTGTGCCGTGAGTTTCATCAGTGTTTTCTATTCGAGATTTATTCTTCATAAATTTGTCCAATGAAATTTGCGTTCTTGAATCGCTTCATTTCATAAATTTACTGCAAATACAAATTCTTCACTATAAAGGTCTATAAAAGATTGAGAAATACCCGGAGCAGCCANAAGGAGGATGGGTGACGTTAGCTGCTACATGGGAGCACCGGGCTCGGGAGCACCCGGTTCTACTGGAGGAGGAGGTGGTGGTGGCGGTGGTTATGGGGGTGGTGGAGGATACGGAGGCGGTGGAGGTTATGGAGGTGGAGGTGGTTATCAACGTGAAGATTATGCTTACGGCGGCGGTAGTGAAGGTGATAAAATTGTGTTCATTGAGCAATCAGGTTACATCCACACCCAAACGAGCGAATACATGATTACTACCGTTTCACAGCCCATTCATCAGCAAGTCATGACAAATGTCATTGTGTTACGTCGATGACAATGAACGTCGCGAGCAATTGAGCCATTCGGGCTATCGATCTGATTCCTGTGTCAAGAGATTTTTGATCGAGCAATTCCAGTTTCATTCCACCGTTTCTACTGAATTTAATTTCAGGTGGTGGTTACTGCGGTGGCCCAGGTGGCGCTCCTGGTGGTGTTGCAGGTGGTACTGATGATGGTCCAAAAATGCGCCCAGATGTGTCTTGTTATTTGGGACCTCGTTAAACGGTCAATGCGCACGCTGTCTATTGCCTATTGTATCATATCGTATCGCTTCAAAACAACGAACTGCTCGCTGCCTCTAAAATCATTCTGATGTGTTCATTATCATCATCCTAATTACGTGAATATATCGAGATTACAGTAAATATTCGGCAATTTTCTTGTCTTATGCTACAACTGTTGATAATTATAATTACTTCCGAACGATTATGCACTCTTCAATCGATCAACAAAACCACTACAAATAAGTGCGCAAGATCAGAGTTTTTGTGATCCCAACCTTAATCAACCATCAATTGCGCATGCGACAGTGAATCTATTGGGCTGGTCAATGCATGTATCAAATAAGTTGCTTACTTCGGGATATAATGGAATTTGCAAAAGCGTTGTTCCATAAAACAAGATAATGAACGGCATTTATGAACATTAAAAAATTCGATTACACAAATGTACAAAACATCAAGAATGTCACATCCGGCACGATCATCCACAACGATATCAAGAGATTGATAAGTAATCATACAAATCANATATAATGGAATTTGCAAAAGCGTTGTTCCATAAAACAAGATAATGAACGGCATTTATGAACATTAAAAAAGTCGATTACACAAATGTACAAAACATCAAGAATGTCACATCCGGGACGATCATCCACAAGGATATCAAGAGATTGATAAGTAATCATACAAATAAGTAAAGAAACGTCATGAAGTTAAAACATTCCAAACAAATAAAAGGTTTTGAGAAGCAGCTATCAACCGAGAAATACAATTTGAATGTGAACAACACGAAATAATCCAAAACTTCAATGGACAATTAGATACTATCAAATCTAAAGCAACATTGAGCAACCTAGACAAGAGAATTGACAGCAAACTTTTTCTTTTGCTGCCACTCAAAAAGGCACATTTTGATTAAGGCAATTGGTCACTTCGGTTCAGTTCTCCTTTGTACCAGGCATAAACCTGGGCGGTGATTTATTTGCGCTACTGTCTCGAACCGATGATGTTGGTGTTCTTGTTGCGAAGAACCGAAGTGCATGCGACATTCTCCTGAAAAAAAAATGCTTTCTATTGAACTGTGTGGAAAATTCTCAGTCACTGTCAATTGTCAATCGCATCAAAATTCTCAAAACTCAAATGACTGAAGCACTATTACCATTTCATTCCATATGACAATCCACCATACAAATGCTCTTCTTAGACTCATGCATTCATGAATGCACATTCGCATGATGAATACCAATCAAATTCCCATTAAAATTCCCATGACAGATTCTCACAAGACAAATTCCCATTCCCATTAAACTAAATATACCTGGATGATCTTGCGGTCGTTATGCAACACCACAAAATTGCAACAATGAGACCAATCAGTGTGAACAATAATACGGCTGCGACGAACGCCATCGTCAACACAATGTAAGCAAGCGATTTGCGTGCTTCATGAGACTGCAAACCGTTGTCGCGCAAATCGCCGTTTTCGATTCCCACCAACGACAGATCGAAGTAATCAGCACTCTTAAACATTTCTCGCATTCTTATTCCACTATCACATCAGGTGAACCAGAATTCAAAAGACCAATAGCACGGAAAATATCAAAA